ACTACAAGATATGGCTGCCAACCGATGTCAGTGGCGTTCTTGTTGTCAGTTTCTATCCAGATTGCCTGAGTGAATGTCTGGAGGTGTAAGCACCTCGGAATGATTGTAGTAAGCTACCACCAACTCCTTTTCTTATCCGCGTTTATTCTCTTTTTCAAAATGAGGTTTTCAATTAAATCATGCTTGTACGGCAGCGAAGCATCGGTGTTGAACGCTGATGTTATGCTTTCGATGATGATATTGATGTTGGGCTTTGATTATATTGCTTAAGTTTCGTTGCATGTACGCACTGCGAAAGGAATCCGCCGGAACTGGTATAAGTTGCCCCCGTTCCCGAGTACAGTTAACGGCCTATGTGATCCTGGAGATCCATTTTACTCTTGGTGGTATAGGGTGCGATGGTTTCGATTATGTGATCCAGTCTTGGTAAAGTGTAACCCTCAAGATTTGTGAAGTAGTTGATGGTGTGGGTCTAGTCTATGACAATGCGTCTCCTGTGGTTTGCATTGTGCGTTGCGAGCACTTGCGCTCTCCATGGAGAATTTGATGCTTCGATTATGCTATCAATGATAATTCGTTCTAATTCGGTTAATATGAATTGTTCCTCTTCCGGTGTATGATGACGAGATTTCGTCGCGACCGGTTTGTATTTCGCAACAAGTTTAGTGAATAAAGATGGGGGTTCCAGTTTCGCGAATGTTACGCCATATACAGTTAGGGTGCCCCGCTGTCCATCAAAGGGAATTCGAGCTTTATTGTGTAACCCCAAGAAGTTATGTTCGAGAAGGACGTCTCCACAGAAGTTCGGTGATACACAAAGTTTGAACTGTTCGTATGTAGAATCCTTGTATTGCGTAGACACAAGGCAATAGCCTTTGCTGAAACATGCATGTATCTTTGGCGCGATTGTTATCACAGAGTCATACGGAAATGGTTTCCAGTTAGGAGCTTGTAGGACTAAAGAACAAAACTTCTGGAGCTGTTGGCATCAATAAGAGCTCGGACAACAAGCTATTGACCCAAGTATCTGTTGTAGTTTTCGATAGGCCATTTGAAGCAACGACACAGGTTAGAAATCTCAAACCAAACCCACGTGATATTTCAAGCATTTGGACCAACAGACGTGCTGAAAATGTCCTATTTTCCTTCAACTTTTACCAACTGATTCATTGACAGGAAACCTATTACGAGGGTGCAAAGTAATATGTTTGTTATGTAACGGCAGGACGAAGAGGTTGGCACAGAACAAGTAACAGATTATCCGTATACGTATAATTATGAATGTTTTTGGAGACCTGGTGAGGCTTCTTGAGCTGTGTCAAAATTCAGTTCATGCCACGCTAGCGGTTTCTCCCGAATGGTGTTTGGATACAGTCTGGTCATCTCGGATTGTTTCGTTCGTATGTTTCAAAGCAGATACTGCTGTGAATTCACAGTCTTAAGCAAGTGGTCTCAGTTTTTGAACCAACTGGTCAGCATCCCGACATATTGATATCTTTGCATGTAGCTAATAGGTGGATGAGTTACACTTGCTAGTTTACGATGGCTACAGCATGCACCCCACATACCAGAGGACTAGTTTCCTCGCAGCGCTGTTTTCGCTCAGTCCTGTACTGAATAGAAGCAACCGAGATTTGGGCACTGTGGTGGAGTATCAAAGTGTGAAGACATTAACCGATAAACTCGGGTCGATAGCTGCCATCTATCTGTCTGTGAAATCCGGGAATCCAATGATCATTGACACTAGTCGACGTTGCTGAATCACTCAGTTAGTGGCCCTCATGCATCGAAGCTATCGCCTTCGGTTTGCACCTGCCCGATTTCGCGAAGCAGCTGATCATGCTTCAGTGGCCCTCATCGAAGCTATCGCCTTCGGTTTGCACCTGCCCGATTTCGCGAAGCAGCTGATCATGCTTCAATGCTTTATTATATCTCTTGCTCTCTCCCATTTTTCGAGAACCGAAACTGTATCCGTTGAAGCCAACATGTTCTTGGTACGTAGTTTATAGCTGATAAGCTGGACTGTGTGTAATATAGGGATTGTTAGTATTTTCTAACTAGCTTCGTTAAATCTCAACTGCATTCTGTGTCCGTTTCAGCCTGTGATAGAACTTTCCATGCATCATGTGGGCTCATCTACATTGTAAGTTATTTCCAAAACAAACCCTGACTCATTTATTCAGCCGACGGTTTTCGAAAACGGCTTGCTCTAGTGTCACTGACAATCCAGAATACAGTGGTCATTCTTCTGACGCGCTACACGCGAGCTCGCACCGGTGACATGTACTTCGCTTCCACTGCTGTTGTGATGAGTGAACTCGTTAAATTGGTTACTTGCTTCGTGTTGGTATTTGGCGAGGAGAGTTTTAGCATCACTGCCCTTGGGCAAAATTTAAAGAACAATATCCTACTAGATCCATGGGACTGTGTGCTTATTTCTGTTCCCGGTGTTGTCTATACCATACAAAATAACTTATTGTTCGTTGGCTACACTTATTTATCGGCAGTGTCTTTTCAGGTAAGTTGACTTTATTTGCTCTTTTCGTCTTGTTTGGTTAACCATCGACTATAGTTAACGTTGCCAGCACAACCTGTGATCAGACCGCTTTTTACCGAATGTTTTCAGTCCCTGGGCATATTTGAATGGTGTGTTGGTAGTGTCACTCTTGCTTTTGGTAAGATTCCAAGGTTTTACTGAGATTTACTTATATTAGGATGGTTTTCAAATACCTTTCAGAATCAGACAAGCGAAAGCAGACATATCCCGGGTGTAGTAGTACCTACCTCCACCAATTGTTTTCAGGGTTAAGCCTTATCCGTATACATATTGATTCATGTTTTCATCGAGCTGCATAATCACAAAGACGGGGGGTGCAGTCCAGAAATAAAAGAACAGTTGAAAGAGTTGTATCAAAACGCGATACAGGGATATAACTTGAAAAGCTGGACCTGGTTGAATCGGTCAACCGGTGAATGAGTACAGTTGGGTCAGTGGCTTCGGCACTGAACCTTATCGGTGTTCACACACCTATACCTAAGAGCTGCCTTCCTATCCTCAAACCAGTAAGCGATATCCTACAGTTCTAACTAAGCGGTTTCACCCAATGATCTTCATTCATATTTATTCAGAGAACCCAGTTACATAGGAGAGTCAGGCTGCCCCATTCTGTAAGCAGTGGCTTCAAAAAACTTTCACTTGCCACAAACTACACCCTGAAACGAGGCTACAACAGCCTTCTCGGCTCCATACTTGCTAACATCATGTATAGTAAGATGCTATTCACGCAGTCGGTCACTCCAGCTTATTCGATGACAATGTACAGTAGTACCTGTTAGTTGTAAGTGTCATGGTTGTTAAACCCTCAAGCATCAGAATGGAACGACTATCTCGAATAAAGAAGAACGCATCGACCGGTTGGCTGAATACTTCGAACAACAACTGTCGTGGCCACCAGCTGTCACTCATCCAGAGCCCACAGGTGAAGTTGAACCCTGGACGGTGAATGTGGAACCGCATACGGCCTCGGAAGTTTACGACTGCGTATGTTCTCTCAAGCCACGAGCTCCTGGCCCGGATGACCTCTCACCCGTATTGTTCAAAGAGGGGGCTGAAGTCCCCAGTCAGCGCTCGTCTCATCTGTTTGCCTGCATTTGAGAAAAGGAGTCTGTCCCAGACAACTAGAGAGAGTCGATGATAGTGCCCATTCTTGAAGAAAGGGGCGCGTAGTGAGTGTGGCGACCAAAGGGGGATCAGATCGACCTCGGTCGTAACGAGACTGTTGGTGTCACTTGTGGTTGGTCGCCTTACGGTGGCTTGTGAGACACTGACTCGATAGCAGCAAATGGGATTCTGGCTTGGTAGGGGTTGCGCTGACCAAAACTTCACACTTCTTCAGGTGCTAGAACAACGCCGTACGTATAAACTACCCATAATTCTGGTGTCCCAGGATTTCCGAGGTGCAATCGATTCGTTCGATTGGTCTGTTCTTAAAACGCTTGCCCACCAAGGACTCGCCACGGTAGAAACTCCATTCCATATTCGATCTGTTCTTGGTGCATGAAAATGAGTCCAATGAAGTGTGCTTGTCTTACACAGAGGACGCATAGGCTTGATTCTCTGCGTTATAAATGTCCATTTTAATTTTCTGTTCAATATAGTATTGTACTCATTCCTCCACCTGGCCATCTCGGGGGAAAAATCCCCTCGCGTTAATTTTGATTGCTCACTGTTAGTATGATTATGGATTGCTGGTTTTTGTGGTTCAAAACCAAATATGCGGTTCTGAAGAGTAACAGTATCAGCGGAACAGTTATCCGTTGTTTCTTTTACGAAGAGTTGCATAAGCGTATGAAGAACATGCGGTGTTATGAATAACAGGTTGCTCTTGAGATGTCATGTGCTGGTATGTGTAGTCATGGAACTTGTCACCACACCTTTCATTCGGAAGTCTGACGTCTGGTTTTGCGCCCCAGGCACCACTATTGCAGCATTTATTTCCCTTACCACTTCGGGGGTTGAAACCAATATGTACAAGCCTTACTATGCTCAGTGTGCTGTTCGGCTTGCGTTTTTGAGCGTACAATCAAATAATGCGTCTGTTAGTGCATAATTTCTATGGTTATTTGCGTCTTATTCTTCAGTTAACTAATGACTGAAGTTTCCTATCGTATAATCTTGATTACCTTTTCAATCTCGACCTGATGAAGTTGTTGAACTACGGTACCTTGCCTTCATCACGCACCATTTTTGTATTCTCTCTTTTGTAGGTATCCTATCAACTGAAGATATTCACCGCAGCTATTTTCTTCCGCATCATTCTTAAGCGGCAACTTAGCCGAACTCAATGGTTTGCTTTGTTTCTCTTGTTTGCTGGTGTTTCCCTCACACAAGTCAGTGATGCTTCAAATGCTGGGCGTTCGGACTCAGCCGCTACGGTATGGGAACAGATGCTTGCACTGTCCTCCGTTCTACTTGCATGCACCTGTTCTGGATTTGCCGGTGTCTACTTTGAAAAGTTACTCAAGGGCTCTCGTAAGAGTGTGGCCGTGAGAAACATTCAGCTCTCTTTCTACGGTATCACAGCTGGGATCCTCACAGTGCTGATCAAAGATGGTGCGAGCGTGCGACAACGAGGATTCTTCTTCGGTTACGACAGCATTGTGTGGGTGTCCATTTTTACGCAGGCACTTGGCGGTCTACTGATTGCGGCTACAATTCGGTATGCGGATAATATTCTCAAGGGATTCGCCCCTTCAGTGGCCATCGTGTTAAATTTCATCCTGTCTATGTTTTTTTTCGGCTTCCACCCAACAGTGATGTTTGTTGCCGGGGCAATTCTTGTTATTGTCGCCACTGTGCTTTATTCCCTTTGTCCTCCCCCTCAGTTAGTGGGAAAGGAACCAAAATCCACACCGAGTGATGCAGTTCAACAAGTTTAAACCTGTCAGCCCGTTTGTCCTATTTTGAGCTAAAAGTGTGCCTTGTTGTCTGTGATAATTTAACCTGTCCCCGATTTTGATACAAGATTTTAGACACTTCGTTTCATTAAAGTTTGTTAAAGGAAACATTTTTATCACACATTTCGATTTCGTAATATCAAATGGAATGTAAGGATCTCTGTCGTACTATTTATTCCGACAAATTGCTGTGATAACGCTGCTGTGTTGCGCTCTGTCGTGCGATCTCTTTTAAGGCCAATTCATACGCACTTGACAACTGTTTGTCGTGCTAGGTTGGGATCTTGGTAAATGGTTCTATCTGTATCGATATCTCTTTGGATACGATCTCGGCTACCGCTTCAGTTGTTGCTGTAATAGTGCCATTTGTATTCAGCCAAGTTAGGTAGACTGGAGAAGTAGGTGTTACTCATCAGTGTATCAGTTTAGATGCAATTCACCGCGGATAGAACGAGAAGCGTTGTGAATTTGTTTCAACTCCCAGAATGGGCGGAATTCATATTTCTAACTGGTATCAAACTGTGATTGTGGCTTATGAGTGCGACGTGTTCAGTCTGTCGTCAATCTCTGTAAAATTCAGTTTCTGCTCCGTTCCCCGTGACATTGTGATGACATTTTAAATACCCTATCCATAGTCTACTTTTCCTATAGGTACCTATATGTTGATGGATTGATTGCATAATCTAGGTACCGCGCGTGAGCTTGTTAGCATCGGAGGCAGTCACTAGGTTATGGCGACCGAGTCCCTGCCTTGCCATCTAACTGCAATGTAAATTCAACGGGTCAGATATCATTATTTCTGCCCTCGTCGGATTTCTCTACTGCATGTGATGACTGCTTATCGCAAGACTCAACTGTTCGCCCAAAACGCAAGGCTTGCTGCACCCGGATCTATTCATAGGTCATCTACTAGGTAAACCGATTTTTTCAGTCAACTTAATGACCTTTGGTCAGTGGGTGTCTTGAAATCCGTAGCGCTGTGTTTTGGAGTATGGACTGGTTGTTTTCGTTTGGTATGTGTTTAGATATTATTTGAGAGGGCGGTCCTTTTGTGTCGTCGCCACTGCGGTGACATGGATACCGCCGACGGAGTTTGGTTGTCTTAAAATTTCGAAGCTATAACAGTAGATGGGATTATCTATTAACCGACAAAATCAACCTTTCGATCTAAGGATCCTTTAGTAAAAAAGTTTGACGCCAACGAGAAATACCTTAGCAGGGCCCCAACCAATTCCAAAAGGGTCCCTCAAACTATCGGGTGTTGGACCTGTTCGGAGGGATGCAGAAGGCCACCGTCACACAAGTTTATGATGGGGTAATTTGCACATCTAGTATGGGACTGAGTGGCACATTAAGTTTGCATGTTTGGTAAGCCCCACATTTATGTGTTTTGGTTGCAGGTTGCTTAGGCTTTGCATACCGAAATTTCGTGATCGAGGTGTGTAGACGTAGGAGTTGGTGTTTTTCTTTCAACGTTCTCTAGTGTGCTCTCCAGTTTGGATTTTCGCCCATGTGGTTGAATAAGCAGAACGTCCGATCTGTTTGATCAATCAAGGATCTGCCGTTGTGCTGAAGAATTTAGAAGGTCGAATTCAAGAGCACATTTGACCCCTGACTTTTTGATAAACTTTTTGGTCCTGACTATCGATCTCCGGATCTCTGAAGACGATCCTTCTTAAAGTGGCCCACATCCCGCGAAGACAATGAAGACCTGTTTACTGACGCTAAAAAGAACGAGGTGCTTTCGGTTACTGTTCAAGATAAGTCACACATTTTCAAGCATTATACAGATACTAGGTTTTTCTGTCGTACAACTAGGTATAATCCATGGTCGGTATTCGTTAGTATTGCCTGATCGATATTTAGCCGTGTATGGGCCCGTATAAAGAAGTTGGTCGGACAGCGGTCCAAACTGAGGTGAAGAGCAGATTTCGAGGTAGTCAATACCCGGGTTGTCTTATTTAGCGTTAAATGAGAAAGATATTGATACCTGCAATGAAATCCAACAAGAAATGGATTGGGACTGGCGTTACAACAGATGAATCAGGGGCATCTGAAATCATTCTAAGGGTTATAAATACGGCTATTATAAGAGTGTTACCGATACAATTGGAGAATGGCTTTTCGGTGAATAGAGCCAGGGACTGCATCTACACAATCGAATACAACGACTTCACTGATGTCTATATAGGACAGATGATTGGAGAACTTCACAAAACGAAAATAAACAGGCCTCCGAAAAACCCGTTTTTTTTTAGAAATGCTGAGGTTTTGAGGCGGGGTTACGATTCACGTCACAGAGATTGATGGTCGAGGTGATGGAAATGGAATTTGTGTGAATAGAAAAGAGAGCGTAGAACTGGCGAGCTTGTAGAGGACGGTTCTGAATGAGACGAGCTGAGGTATAATGGTTTGAGACTCCTTGGACCGAACGGTCAAAGACCCAAACCCGGTCGAAGCGATTTTAAATCTAAACACATCGACCTTAAAATCTAGACACCCACACTAACCTACACCACTGCTTTAGTTTACTATTCGGAAGAGGTCTTTTCGCTTTATTCTCCGTTTTCCCTAAAACCTGTCCGAAATGTTAACACTCAGATGGCCTGAGTGAGCTCTTGTTGGCTCACACTCACCGTTTGCTTACCTGCCCCTTATGAAACCAAAATGATTACGTTTATCTTAGCGTCGGAAATTCCAGCTAGTCACTTTCGACGAATTGATCTTCTTTCTGCTGTCTTTGATGTCACTACAGTGATGATGTTACATCGGTACAACTGAACGGCCATCTCTAAAAAATGGCTGGAAACATGCCGAGTAAAAACAAGTAGTCCATATTTCAGAACACAACGTCGTGGATTACAAGACACTCGCTGACTAAGGGTCATTCATCTGAGCTCAGACAGTCACTCCTTTTGTTACGTACGGTGGATAGTGTCACTAGACTAGTCTACCAGTTTTATGTGCAAAACCGATCGACTGAAAACACCGGCCTGACAAGTCAGTGGTCCATGAATTCCCTTTTTTGATGTTCACCTTAGGTGCTGAACCTATTGATGTGCTATACATAAATGAATGACAGTGGAAGAAATATCGCTCTCATTTCTTGTGTGCGGAACGAATTGCGGTGGCAGCAGGCCTTTTATTAGAAGATCAACGCTAAGCAAGAGCGGGACAGAAGACGTTTAGCCGGGCAGTGAATCATGAGTGGAGTCAGCGTGCTAGATCAGTTGGTGCCTACGCAAACTGTGAGTGACAGCGACACATGAAACTGAAGAGAGAGGAGGGACAAAGATAAGCTAGTTAAAAGGAAGATGAGACATCATCTCCCCTTTATTGAAAGCTTCTTACCGGAGTATAAAGAAAACCTGCTTATTAGTGTTGTAAATGACATTGTACCATATGCATACTATTTTAAAGAGGCATAGTAAGGTGTCCTAAGTGGCGTTGTGATGGGACACTGGACAACTGGCGGAACCCAATGATTTGGCTCACCTCAGAACTGCGTGCACTCTCCACCAGTGTCCCAAACTATGGGTTCCCGGTGAGCACAGTGTTAACTGCAGTAGGTTTGCTTAGGTGGCGTGCGTTCCGAACATGGGTATTCTGTGCACAAACCAGCGGACTAGGTGCATAGGTTTACTCGGATTTCCAGATGATGCGTGGTTTGCTTGCATGCGTCCACTTTCTTCTGAATTGACATATAAAACCTGTTAGGAGGCACTCCTCCTAACGAACATATTGCTCAACATTTCTCTCTCTCTCTATTTCAGCCTCTCATTGGACTGTTTTGTTCCATTCCATTCTTGATTCTTCGAATCTCGATATTGGCTGTTCAGTTGCTGCAGTATAATTTCCTCAAGGCTTTTTGTCTTCTCAATGTCGTTTGTAACTGACAAGGTTGATTGACTGATGAGTTCTTGATTCAATCTCGATATTGGCTGTTCAGTTGCTGCAGTATAATTTCCTCAAGGCTTTTTGTCTTCTCAATGTCGTTTGTAACTGACTGACA